AAAGATTGAAACTTAAAGTATTACTAAATAAATATTCAACTCAGCCTTAAACATTTAATAAACCATCAACACACATTTTTTGCTGAGATATGTTTAATAAAAACACTAACATTTTCAACCTAATACCAGGCCATCTTTAGGTATAACCGAAATTCAAATGTATTTTTAAAAACAACATTTAAACAACAGAACATCAAACATTTTTACATTTAAATTTAAAACAAAATATTAGATAACTTAACCATCAATACAGCTTTTTTGCTGAGATATATTTAATAAAAACACTAACATTTTCAACCTAATATCAGGCCATCTTCAGGTGTAACCAAAATTTAAATGTATTTTTAAAAACAACATTTAAACAACAGAACATCCAAATATTTTTACATTTAAATTTAAAACAAAATATTAGATAACTTAACAAATAAATAATAAAATAATATAACAAAATATATTAAATAAACTATAACTATAATGATATAAATAATATAATAAAATAACATATGTAAAATAAAATAAAACTGAAATAAAATGCACAAAAAATGTCTCCAAGTATAAGGGCAGGTGCAAGCTAAGAATTTTTATGTTTTAGTTTTTCTTTTATGTAGAATTTCCATGCAGAAGCTAGTCCATCCGCATCTCTGGCGTTAATACAACCATCCTTTAATTTACTTTTATAGATTTTGATTTTTTATTCGTGCAATGCTAATGATAAGGAATGTAGCCTTGAGGATAGTCACTTCATTTCATTTAATTACAGAGTCCTCTGCTTGTGTCATACAGGATAAAACTGTTGTAGTGCCCTTTATTAATACCATATTTGTGCTTTTTAAGTCTGATAGCTAAATTCCTTCTTATGACCCCAGTTTAGACCTTCTTAATTCCTAATTCCTGATTTTCAAATGAAATTTTACATACACCTGCTGTTTCTTCTTTTTTAATCATGTCGTTATTATTTCTTAAAATACTATGTAAATTANGTTGTTCGAGATACAGTTTTTAAAAAAGGTTTTAACAAAGTTCGAGCAAATACATAATTAGCAAAAAATAGTTGAAATAAAGTGATTAAACAAAAATTATCGTAAATAACAGTTCACAAATGCATATATAGAGATATTTTTTGGAGGGGGGAAATGGTCTTCACAATTTGAAATCCATCAATCTCATGATGAAATGCTCGTATATACTCTATTGTAGGATCGTGCCATCTATCGTAGGATAAATGTACTATGCCAGAAACGGAGTGTATTAAAAAACTTTCCAAAGCTTCATAGCAATCATACTATGCCAGCAACCTTCATGGGAGTATATTAAACAACTTCCCAAAGTTTCATGGCAATTGAATAAACAGTGTGATAATGCATGAAGGACAGACAGACAGACAGACACACACACACACACATTCATTTTTATATATATAGATTTCCATGCAGAAGCTAGTCCATCCGCATCTTTGGCGTTAATACAACCATCCTTTAATTTACTTTTATAGATTTTGATTTTTTATTCGTGCAATGCTAATGATAAGGAATGTAGTCTTGAGGATAGTCACTTCATTTCATTTAATTACAGAGTCCTCTGCTTGTGTCATACAGGATAAAACTGTTGTAGTGCCCTTTATTAATATCATATTTGTGCTTTTTAAGTCTGATAGCTAAATTCCTTCTTATGACCCCAGTTTAGACCTTCTTAATTCCTAATTCCTGATTTTCAAATGAAATTTTACATACACCTGCTGTTTCTTCTTTTTTAATCATGTCGTTATTATTTCTTAAAATACTATGTAAATTAGGAGAGCTTTTGAAAACTATTTTATAGTGTTTTTTGTCTGACACTTGTTTTATGATGTTCGGATTATAAGTGAACTTGGAGATTTTAAACTGATTTGTTGGGTTCTTATTATATTGCTTCCTTCATGTCTTTTAATTAGTCCTTCTATTATATTCTTTTTATATCCCAAGTTTGAAGCTGATTTTTTGATTCTATTAATTTCTTTGAACCTGTTCAGCACATTAGAGCAATATGAATAGACTCTTCTAACGAGTGCATGAAAAGCAGACAGTTCGTATCCATAGGGGTTGTTCAAGTTAGCCAGAATGTGTTGGTTTTATGTATATACCAGTTGTTATACAATCTCCTTTCAATTGGATGTCTATATCTAAAAAATGTATCTGTTCATGACTTTTTTGCTCTAGTTTAAGTTTTAATCTATCATTGTTTCTATTGTTGATTACCTGTACAAACAACTCTTGTATTCTCTTGCCATCTTTCCACACAATGCACACATCAACCACATATCTTTTGTAAAATAAAATATCCATCCTGAACCTATCGATAATGCACTTCTCTAAGTTGCATAGGACTAGTTCACATAATAATCCTGACATCAGGCTTCCCATAGGTATCCCTTTCTTTTGTCTCTAAGCTTGTTTATTGAAACTGAAGAAGGAGCATAGCATACCAATTTGGCTAATTCCATCATACTGTTTGCAAATGCAGCAACTTTCAGCTTTATGTGGAGCATAAATTCCATTAAACAACATAACAGGATTCTATTTTTAAAGATGGGTATAGGTCTTCATAATCCATAACCGTCCCAACTTCTTCATCAAGTAACTTAATTCCTGTAATTTTTTTACTACATTCATTGGATTTTTTGAAACGAGAGTATTGTTACCTAGCTCTTCTGAAATTAATCTATGTAAAGGTTTTTCAATAATGTATGCAGGTTAAAGGATCACATAACCTGAAACCATGAATGCCAAAATTATTTGCATTTGCAAAAATACATAAAGAAGGTAAAGAAGTTAGACCTGTGGTTGAGAAATTCAGAGTACCCATGTACATACTTGTAAAATATTTACATAGATTAATTTCAATGGATACAAACCGTCTGCTTTTCGCACACTAATTAGAAGAGCCTATTCATATTGCTCTTTTGAATTCTTGACCAAATAAATACAGATCTTAACAGAAAAAACAAATTTATTCTGAGCTTAAGTACAGTGAGTGTCAGCAGCACTGTGCACGTGGTCAGACTGGCTGTCTGGGAGACAAAAGACTAAAACTAGGGGCATGGTAAGATGTTGCCAGGTTGGCCACATACTCCTTCCCCAGTGATAATGCTCAGGAACTTAAAAGGAAAATGTACAGTTCATTCAGAATAAATCATTCGTGGGCAAGGTACCTGGATTTGCATGGTCTCATCCGGTGGGTGGTCGTTTCTATCCACAGGTCCATCGTCACTGTTGGAGAATGGCAAAAGGGTGGTTGTAACTTTCAGAAAGAAAGCAGGTTTGAGGCAGTCGATTAAAACAGTTTGCTTCCCTCAAGGTGTATCTAAGTCAAAGTGTTTCTCTAAGCATCGTAAGACACAGAAAGGGCCATCATAGATTGGTTGTAATGGTTTGCATGATGCATCATGACATGTGAGGTATTCATCAACTCAGGGTGTAAAAATATGTTTTCAGACAAATGGTGGACATCTCTGACCGGGCGAATTGACCTCATATGATCCTTCAACCTGCAGATCAAGGTAGGAAAATTATTGGCAGGAGTAGTCTCATGGTTAGTGAGGAGATCAGAACGCAGTGCAATGGTTTGCCATACGTGATCTCTGCTGCTGTAGTGTTACAGTTGGGGATGACATAGAATCTTAGCCCCAAGAGGATGGTTGGGCGTTTAGCAACCCAATTATCAGTCAGCTGAGCTCTCAGCTAAAACTTGAGCTGAGAGCTCAAGTCCTCTAACTAATAAAAATACTTACAGAATTGGGTAAGTTAGTTCTTGTAATCACGTTCGGCTTACCACTTTGGGTTCTTGACCAAATAAATACAGATCTTAACAGATAAAACAAATTTATTCTGCACTCACGTACAGAGTGTCAGCAGTACTGTGCACATGGTCAGACTGCCTGTCCGGGAGACAAAAGACTAAAACTAGGGGCACAGTAAGTTGTTGCCAGGTTGGCCACACTCTAATGTGCTGAACAGGTTCAAAGAAATTAATAGAATCAAAAAACAGCTTCAAACTTGGGATATAAAAAGAATATAATAGAAGGACTAATTAAAAGACATGAAGGAAGCAATATAATAAGAACCTAACAAATCAAATCTCCAAGTTCACTTATAATCCGAACATCATGAAACAAGTGTCAGACAAAAAACACTATAAAATAGTTTTCAAAAGCTCTCCTAATTTACATAGTATTTTAAGAAATAATAACGACATGATTAAAAAAGAAGAAACAGCAGGTGTATGTAAAATTTCATTTGAAAATCAGGAATTAGGAATTAAGAAGGTCTAAACTGGGGTCATAAGAAGGAATTTAGCTATCAGACTTAAAAAGCACAAATATGGTATTAATAAAGGGCACTACAACAGTTTTATCCTGTATGACACAAGCAGAGGACTCTGTAATTAAATGAAATGAAGTGACTATCCTCAAGGCTACATTCCTTATCATTAGCATTGCACGAATAAAAAATCAAAATCTATAAAAGTAAATTAAAGGATGGTTGTATTAACGCCAGAGATGCGGATGGACTAGCTTCTGCATGGAAATTCTACATAAAAGAAAAACTAAAACATAAAAATTCTTAGCTTGCACCTGCCCTTATACTTGGAGACATTTTTTGTGCATTTTATTTCAGTTTTATTTTATTTTACATATGTTATTTTATTATATTATTTATATTGTTATTGTATTAGTTTATTTACAGTCGACCCCCCTTATAACACTGTTGATTATTCCGTTTTATATAAAATCTAAGTGACTTGTACAACAAGTCACTTAGATTTTACAAATACGTGTGCCGGGCTGTGAACTGCTCACGTATTTGTAAAATCTAAGTGGCTCATACAACATGGAATTCATATAAAATGGAATAATCAACAGTGTTATGGGGGAGGGGTCAACCATAGTATATTTTGTTTTATTTTATNTTTAGTTACACCTGAAGATGGCCTGATATTAGGTTGAAAATGTTAGTGTTTTTATTAAATATATCTCAGCAAAAAAGCTGTATTGATGGTTTATTTATGTTTGTCGAAGTATTGTTCTAATTCATGCATAACAGGAAATATAAATACATTATTACTTACTAAATTATTGCAGATTTCTGCAGGAACCATGTCACTTGTATCAAATTTGAAAGTGACTGTTTTTTCTTTGGTAGATTCTAATTGACATTCAACAGTAGTCCCCTTTTCTACACTAAGAACAGTTAATTTTGGAAATCGATCCTGAATTTTCTTCCGTTTTCCAATTCGTTTACGTTCCATTTTACAGTGTTCTCTCGTACTTTCTGATATATCACTCTGTTCACTTGCTGAATCAATACCCAGTAATGCACAGCTAAGATTAAAAAAATGACTAATGATTAAATGCAAAATCTAGTCTGCAGCCAAATTAATCTATTTTAATTATAGCATCTTAAACTTTTAATTGTCAATAAAATAAAATAAATATTGCTTGAAAGTTATTAAGAACTATACCATATAGTTATAGTAATAAAATCATTAAATGTTTATTGTATCATTAAACTATCCTTGCTTCTGTAGTATATGGTATATTTTTCCATAGATTCAAATTTCATCATCCATTCATTAAATATGTAAATCTTCCACATCAATTAAATATTACACTAATAAACTAAATAATCATTGTAATTAATTGGGCTATTTTTTGCTATTATTAATAATTAGATACTAACAAGGAGGCAGATATACATTCAGGTTTCCAATTCAAACAAAACTTAGTGAGCATGTAGCCCTGAACACAAAAAACTTCTCACTCAAATAATATGGCCAGCTTCTCTAGCATTTCCAAAAACTGGGTCTCTGAAAATTGAATGTTTGACTTATAAGGAACTGAAAGCCTAGCCTCATCTCCTAATTAGTAATAAAGGTCTGAGTTTTAATCTGTGATGGGAATTTTTCCACATGAGACATCTAACAAACAAGACTGACTTAGTGCAGTTGTACTTTGTGAACACCATTGTGCTTTCGTTGAATATCCAATTAAAAGAAGTCTTCAACAAATATATATGTATAATCCAACAGCATTAAATTCTAGATTAGAATTTTCAGTTTCTGTTTCAATTTTCTATTCAGTAGTTTCAATAAATTTAAGTAGACAATGTTAAGAACATAGTATGGTATTTAGCTTTGTTTAGATGACATTTCCTTTCTTTGTCCACACCTACATGTGCAATGTAATTAATTAATTGTTATCTGATTTTGGTCAATGGTTTCCTTTTTTTTATTGGGCTTATAACTTTTGTTCGTACAAGTGTAATTCTCCATATGTATAGATTTTTCTTGTTTTCAAATGTCTTGGAATTTGTTAACCACCAGATAAAAAACAAAGTAGTGATACAGACAGAGAAAAATTATAATGTCTTTTTATATATACTGTAGTGATCTGTCACTTAAATTAACCTGTTTTCTTCACCTTATGAATGTTAAGTTTTTATTGTTTTTTTTTTTTTGTGTAAAATTATTCGCACCAGTTTCCATTTTGTGCTTGGACACCACCTTTTATGTGTTAACCTCGTGGACTTGCTGATTGGTTGTGTGATTCGTGATGTCGACAAAGGTATAAATGGAGGTGCTTCACCTGAAAGGATCTTTTTGCCTTTCGGACTTGGTTTGTAATACGTCGTCTATGAGGTGCAATTGGGTAGCTTGAAGAGGGAGATTGGAGACAGTTTGGAGGTGGAAAAACCAATCCATTATCACCCTAGGCTAAGACAAAGATATCAATATGAATTGTGTACACATTCTTTTTTAACTAACAAAGGACACATGTAAGACTGTTTTGTTTTTTTTTTTTTTTTTTTTTTTTTTTAAAACCCCACAGAGAGGTTGTAGAATAGTGCGTAGATTTATGTGTGTTATCTAGATATTTGTATGTTAGAGGTGTATTAAGTCAGTATAATGTATATAGATATAAGTATAAATTGTCTGTAGATAAATAAGCCTGTAAGACCCAGAATTAAATCAATGTTTTTACCTCACCTGTATGAGAAAAGTGTAAAGTCCTTTTTTTTATTTGTATTGCCTATTGCCCAACTTTGTACCCTGTATACTTAGGTATATCAGGTAATTAACAATACAAAGTTTTTCCCTGTTAAGTATACTAAATACTTAGACTGGACGTAACGCAAACAGTTTTTCCCTTTTTTTTAAACCTGTGATATGAAAAAGTTCCTTGTGCTACAGTGCCATGTAAGCTTAGTAATCCTACAAAAGTATAAAAATGATATACTTGTCTAAAAATAACTTCCATTCAAATAAAAGGATAATAATTTTAAACATTTATAATATAACCTTTTTATATACTAACTACTTTAATAACTTTATTAGTAATTTTTATAAGAGAGTTGTTATTAGGTTTATTCTCAATTTAATTAAAAACCAGAAAATAAATCTCTTAAAGTATGAGGTCTGTTCAAAAAATAACTGAACTTTTTGAATTGAGCAAAAATGGAGTGTTCTAGTGTCATGAAGTTGACAATACTGTTCATGATAACTTATTGAGTAAGCTGGTGTTTTTGGGTTTTTTATATCTTGTTTCATCCTGGAGTTATTGTTTTTCAAGTGAAAGATGTTTCAGCGTTTGTGGCAATTTTTGCAATGTGTGATGTACAGGAGCAATGATGTAATGTGAAGTTTCGTGTAAAATTGGTGAAAACTTTTACAGAAACATTTAAATTTTTGAATCAAACTTTATATCAAACTGCTCTAGGTCATGCAGTTTTACGAATAATTTACCTGATTAAAACATGGTTGTCAATTAGTTGAATATGACCCTTGACCAGGAAATCCTTGGCCTCAACTGATGACACTCACATTCAGAAAATCAGATTTGTGTTCTTTGAATTTTTGCCTCAATGTCACACAGTCAACTATCAGTGCTACGCAGGTGTTTTGAAACAATTGCACGATAAAAATTTGCAAAAAAAGATCAGAGTTGTGGCAAGACAATTCATGGTTCCTTCACCATGACAAGGCACCTGCTCACTCTGCCTTGTCAATTTGCCAGTTTTGTGCCAAAAATCAAATGACTGTCCTCTCCAGCCTCTGTACTCACCAGACCTGGCTCCTTGTGAATTTTTCTTGTTTCCAAAATTAAAATCAGTGCTGAAAGGATGCCATTTTGACACAATTGATGACATTAAAACAAATTTGTCACAAGCACTGAAGGACAGTCCGAAACAAGCTTACCAGGACTGCTTTGCAAAGTGGAAACATTGCTGGGATGAGTGTGTAAATAGAGGAGAGGAGTACTTTGAAGGGGACAAGGACCGATAATCTGTAACTTGAAGAATAATAATTAGAAAAATAAAGTTCAGTTACTTTTTGAACAGACCTCATATAATAATAAAAATTAAATTAGTCAATCTAACCTTATTTCTTCTGTTTGAGATGCATATTGTTGAAGATAAACCTCATTGTCCTGTACTGATAATTTCTTTTCCTATTAAAAATAAATAATTTCATATATTTTAAAAAATTAAAAAAACACAAATGCTTTCATTGATCATGTTTTTCAAGTGTTAAGTTACGCGATATTACTGTGCACCAACACAGGAAATATGTCATAAAGAAATTACAATGGTATAGCAACACAAAACATTTATTTTGTGTAATTTTACAGATTCTTTTAGGATGTGGATTCCAATGCCACGGAAATATACATAAGCATATGAGAAATGGCTTGCAACAATAACACAGTAGACACAAATCACATGTGTTGATCACAACAATTATAAATCAACCAAAAACCTAAAACTAACCTTAATTTAATTACTAACTTAAAACTAATGGGGGAGAGATATTAAGGAATGGAAGCTACAAGAAGTAGAGAAAGGTAATGATAGGAAATACCCAGGTTATCACTAGCTTCACATTTATCTTTGTTAACTTCTTACAACCCATCCTTCTTCCTTATTCCTACTTTAAGCCAGTCTTTATTTAATGTCTACAATCAAAATTAGTCATCTGAAAGAGTATTTAAACAAATTCTTTGTTTTCTTCTTAAAATATTTCATACGTAATTGATTCATTCAGAATATTAAAGGCAGGACATTGCATTTTTGTAAGATTTGGTTATGGATGACAAAATCTGTTATTTAGAGTGTCCACTATTTAAAGATAAATATTATAGATGTCCTATTTGAGGGGTCTGGAATTGTAAAAATGTCCATTAAGTAGAGGTGCACGCTATTTGGGAGTATCCATTAATGAAGGTTTTATTGCATTTTATTGTTAATCTTCTGATATGCTTATTTTTTCTCTTTATCTCATCAAATTTCAAAAAATAAACATAAGAAACCTGAGATGGAAAAACATTACATAAATGAAAGATAAAATTGTAATTTTCAATATGCAATGACCGTAATTTCACATTACTACAATAAAAAAAAGTCTTGTGGCCGTCGGCCATATCGACATATGTATTTTAATTGTATATACTTATAATTCCAATCTTCTTTCCCTATTTCTTCTATTTCCTTTCTCTGTTCCTTCTATAACCTTCCAAATGACAGTTATAGCCTTTGGGTGGAATTAGCCATTCTGAGAATCGGAAAGAACAATAGCATGTAGGATTAGCCGTTCTGAGAATCGGAAAGAACTATAGTTGTAGGAGGGATGGTGGAAAGATAGCAAGAGAGAGGAAGGCAGTATTGAATGAGACACAAAGAGAGCTAGATGTGTCGAAGGGAGCTCTGAACGTGACTTCGTGGCGAAGAACAAAGGAATTCTTCGAGAAGTCGAGTAACGGACTGAGGAGGAACCATAGCATTCCATATTTTTCATAGAGAATTTCTAAATTTATTACCTTCACTTTTTATAAAATCATTTTATGTATAGAGAAAGTCAAATGACATTTCAAATACATTAAAAAAAAAAAAATGAATCAAGTGAAATTTTTAAATTTTTATCATTTAGTATATTTATACTAAAACATCAAATTTCATAAAATTTATTGAGTTAAGAAAATATATCTACAGTGGAACCTCGGTATACGACCTTAATCTGTTCCTGGTATTTGGACTTATACCGAATAGGACATATACCAAACCAACCTTTTCCATAAGAAGTAATGTAAAAATGATTAATCCGTTCTCATGAAAAAAAATGGCTGGCTTTAAACACCTCACTTTCCTCGCTAGTTCCTGCTTGATTTTTCATGAGATCAGCATGTATCCTTTTAGCTTTCTCGCAAATAATTGCTTCCGATATGATGTCGCCAGCACACTGTTTTTCAATTATCCAAAGCAAAAGCAATTTCTTGACATGATCTAATGTCTTCAATCTCTGTTTAGAAATTGATTTAACCCCTTTCGCAACATTAGCAAATTTAATAATGTCTTTATTTTTCACGATTGTCGATATCGTCGTTCTCAAAATACGGAATGCAACAGTTAAATCTCGTTAAATGTCGAACACGCGTGCCACCTTCATATTTCTCAACAATCTCTTTTTTCAGTTCCATTGTGATTCTAGTCGTTTTTTTAGTTTTCTGTTGCTTTTCATTTGCCTTTTTGCAATTCATGATTAATAAAAATAATAACATTTTACTTACAAATTAAAATCAGAAGAAATTTAACAAAGTTATAAACCGTAGCACCGCGAACGTTTAGTCTAGTGTAGTACACCGATAGTGCTACTTGTTCATAGATGGCGCGTATAATTGAATTAAGTCATATACCGAACAAAAGTCGTATACTGAGCAAAATTTGTTTTGTCCAAACAGGACGTATTCCGAATTGGACGTATTCTAAAGCAGACGTATACCGAGGTTCCACTGTATTTTGTTTTAATTTTTTATTGCTGAAAGCAATAAAAAATTTTCTACACAAATAAGAGCACACTCCTATATGAGGCAGCTTGTTTGGGCTTATGAGAGCACTGCACTGCTGTGTCAATGTAAATTAAATGTAAATGTATTGACACATAAGTGAGACTTCACAACTAGTCCAAATTCCTCACAAAAACTTGTTTTACAAATATGTTTTCTATATAGAGAAAAATAATACCAAAAACAGAAAGACAGGGTCAAATAAAAAATTTGACCTCTCACTCCAACAACTGTAGAAACAACAAGTGGTAAAGTTTTATTTTAAACAGCTTGACATAAGAGAGCATCAACACACAAAACTATTAATATTAATTTTAAAACAAGCACGTTTTAATTCAACTTTGACAAATGTTTTTAATCTAATAATAGATCTGTTTCATAGGTCTATAAAGCTTAAACATTTCTAATTCTGGAATATACATGTGATTGTTACAATAACTAAAATTCAGGAATGCATTTAAAATTCAAAAGTTGTTCTATATTTTCTCATTTAGAGTTATGTGATAAATAATTACATAAATAAATAAAAGCCTAATACATATATATATATAAACTGTTTTACTCTAATATATATAAATATTATGTAAATTTTTAAGTTTATACAGTCATAGTCAAGAGCAAACATACATGCTATCTTACAAAAGTTAATATGCAAAAAATATGACATGTTAAATTATGACTTGGAATTTTTATTCTAAATAATTGTATAAATCTATTTTCTTGAAATCCACATCACTAAAAATTGCATATCATGAGTTGCAAATGAATTTCTTGCATATTTGTGATTAAAGGTAGAAATCTACAATTCAAAAGTGACCATACATTGTGCACTCACTTGCCAATTTAGTTTGAAAATTGCATTGTTGTTCAAATGCAACCTCATGGTTAATGTAATGTAAGTTAAAACATATTATTATCATGAGTAATTGTCATAAAAAAACTTGTAAGGAAACATGAAAACTGATTATTCAGTTAAAAAATGAAGATAAGTAACTAAGAGAAATTAGAAAAATTGTCAAGAAAAGCCCAACAACTGATCAAAGTATTGTGACAAGATATTTTTTACAGAATATGTTAAAATCTGCTCTCATTCAAAACGATCCAGAAAGCTATCAAATGCAGACATCCATGCTATAGTTCCCGATATTAAACAGAATCCCTACACTACTTATGTTAAATCTGCACATGAAATCTCTGATGTGAAAGGATAACCAGTAAGTGAAATTATCATCAGGAGAATACAATTTTCCAATAATTTTATGGCAGAATATTAAGAAAAAAGCCAACAATGAGTAAAAGAAATTGTCACAAATGTTTGCTATTTGCAAAATGATTCAAAGATGTTCTTTAGAATATTTGGAAAATGTACTATTTACTGATGATTGTAAATCTGAGGTATTCACATCTCAAAAACATTTGAAAGTTTAGAGAACTACAAATTCTGAACTTCAGCTGAAGAATCTAGTGTTTACTGTAAAGTATGATGGAGGATCCAAAATGGTTTGGGATGTATGTCAGCTTCAGGTGTAGGAGAACTTGCTTTTATAGACTCTAAAATGGATCATTTTGGCTATTTAAACATACTTAAAACAAATTTAAACTAAAGCTTAATTAAATTAGGTCTGTGAAACTCCTAGTTCTTTCAGCAAGACAATAATCCAAAAAATATTGTGAAGCAATGTCTCCTCTATCAAACACCAAAACTGTTACATCTATCACCACAATCACCAAATTTAGATATAATCAAACATTTATGAGGATAATGAAGAATAAATTGAAAAATGAAACATTACAAGCAAAGACTCACTTCAGAAAATACTCAGAAAAATGTGGAATTTTATTGAAGTTACAGATATAAAAAAACTAGTTCATTTTATGCCAAACAAACAAAAAGCAGTCATAAAAGGTCATGGTAGACTGGAAAAATATTCATTGTTGAGTTTTATGATGACAAAGTTTGTCAATTTTCTGTTAAATTCAAGTGTATGGAAAGTTGTAATTTTTCATGTTAAGAACATCAAAAAAAAATTTTTTAATATTTGAAAATGAGATATTTGTTTAAGTACAAATAATAATTTTTATACGGTAATTATTTCTTTCCTCATAAATAAATTTATTTGCCATGATTTAATTCTTGAAAATTGAAGGTGGATGTTCACTTTTGACTCTGACTGTATATTAAAGTTAAATTCAGGTAAAATTAAGGTTAATAGATGTGTGTGTTGAAAAACAATTTATCCTGCATTTCTGAATAATTGTGCACATGACGGCAGCTGGAAACTATTAAAAACAGGAAGAAAAACATGATACAATGAATTATGGGTAAGAGATCTCTCAGTTAAAGAGACATTTCAGGTGGAATTTGACATCAATTAAAAGAGAAATTTTAACCTTCCATGACCCCTAATTCGGTCCTGGCAACAGAACAAGGACCAATTGGAAAGTGAGGCAAGGAGATTGAGACCAACCAGTGTTTGAACTGAGGAACAAAGTCTTTAAAAATTTGTGCCATAAGGATATAAGGTTCACAGCCAATAACTTGTCACAAGGATCCATTTTTCCTTTACTCTCTTCTCAAGAATTCCATTCCTGTTGTGGCAGTCAGCCATGTTTTTTTTTGTCTTCTCTATCTATCCAATTTCATATGCTCTTTCCACCCTTTGTCAGGAATTCTGCCATTGTTTGTAATCATTTCCAGACCAGCTCTTTTGTTCGGTTCTGAGGAAAACTGGTCTGGACAACAGGAAGAAAATATTCAAGGAACCTGAACAGAATAGAGCTCACCTTGAGTTGAGTCTTGGACAAGGACAGGAAAGAGAAAAACTCAGAACAATGATGCTGAGGCTTGAAGCGTTCAGCCACTTACCAACAAGATATTGTTTATATACAGTGGAACCTCGGTATACGACCTTAATCCGTTCCTGGTGTTTGGACTTATACCGAATAGGACGTATACCAAACCAACCTTTCCCATAAGAAGTAATGTAAAAATGATTAATCCGTTCTCAATTAAAAAAAAGTGGCTGGCTTTAAACACCTCGCTTTCCTGGCTAGTTCCTGCTTGATTTTTCACGAGATCAGCGTGTATCTTTTTAGCTTTCTCTCAAATAATTGCTTTTGATACGCTGTCACCAGCACACTGTTTTTCAGTTATCCAAAGCAAAAGCAATTTCTCGACATGATTTAATGTCTTCGATCTATGTTTAGAAACTGATTTAACTCCTTTCGCTACGTTAGCAGATTTAATAATATCTCCATTTTTCACGATTGTCTATATCATCGTTCTCGGAATATGGTATGCAACAGTTAAATCTTGAACATGCATGACACCTTCATATTTCTCAACAATCTCTTTTTTTCAGTTCCATTGTGATAATACAATAAATCTGACTTACTGAACCTATAACCGATGCGTATCACTCTTTTTCTTTCACACATCAAACGTTTTCATAACCCCTTCTGGGTTCTTCATCAGGATAACAGCTGGATCGAATAGCGATTTCAAAAATTTGAATGAATCCGAACTTGTATCATTCCATTCGCTTAATCCGTCACATGATATGATTGAAATTGTTCTATTTTGACAGTCGATGTTCAAATTTAAGAGAATGATTCAAAACATGTTATTGAGATATAAAGATTATTTAATATTCTCGTGTTTTTAGGGCGTATGACAAATCCGAGTGTATTAATTCAAGAGAAGAGATCAGCCTTTCCATGGCGTGGCAAAACCTACTCCATAAAGAGTGATAATGAAATTATATTGAGCCTTAAAAATAAATGATATTAGGGAACACGAGAATATTAAATAATCTTTATATCTCAATAACATGTTTTGAATCGTTCTCTTAAATTTGAACATCGATCGTCAAAATAGAACAATTTCAATCATATCACGTGACAGATTAAGCGAATGGAATGATACAAGTTCGGATTCATTCAAATTTTTGAAATTGCTATTCGATCCAGCTGTTATCCTGATGAAGAACCCAGAAGGGGTTATGAAAACGTTTGATGTGTGAAAGAAAAAGAGTGATACGCATCGATTATAGGTTCAGTAAGTCAGATTTATTGTATTATATACAACCCGATGTGCAGTGATAGTATATTATTATATAATTCCATTGTGATTTTAGTCATTTTTTTTCTGTTGCCTTTTTGCAATTCATGATTAATAAAAATAATAACATTTTACTTACAAATTAAAATCAAAAGAAATTTAACAAAGTTATAAATTGTGGCACCGAAAACGTCTAGTCTGGTCTACGAGGGCTGTTCGGAAAGTTCGCGGCCTCAAATAGAACAACAAACAAAATAATGTTAAAACTTTTTTATTTTTCAATGTAGTCTCCTTTGTTAGCAATGCACTTATTCCAGCGATGTTCTAGCTTTTTTATGCCATTACAATAGGTCAATTTGTCAAGGTGTGCAAAATACTCGTTTACTTCAGAGATGACTTTGTCATTTGAGTGGAATCTCTTTCCAACCAAGAATTATTTTAAATTTGGAAAAAGGTGGAAGTCACTGGGGGCCAAATCAGGTGAGTACGGTGAATGTGGAACTAATTGGAAGCTAAGTTCGTTTATTTTTTGTTCAGTGATTCTGGCATTATCGTGGTGAAACAGAACCTTCTTCTTCAAGTGTGGCCTCTTCGATTTCTTTCTTCAGTTTTTCCAAAAGTATACAGTAATAGACAGCATTGATGGTCTTTCCTCTTTCTAGGTAGTCAATAAAGATGATTCCTTTAGCATCCCCAAAAAACCGAGGCCATCACTTTCCCCGCTGATGGAACTGTTTTTGCCTTCTTTGGTGGTGGCGAACTGGGGTGTTTCCATTGCTTCGACTGTTCTTTTGTTTCAGGAGTGTAGTAATGGATCCACGTTTCGTCAGTAGTCACAAACCGACGCAAGAAATCCCGTGGGTTTTTCTTGTAGAAGTCCAAACACTTCTTTGACATCAAAGTGCGAACACGTCTTTGCTCAGCGGTCAGCAGATGCGGCACCCAACTTGCTGAGACCTTCGTCATACCCAAATTTTCGGTTAGATGTGGTGCACTCGGTCGACAGAGATGCCTGTTGTCTCAGCTATCTCACGCGTTTTCAAACGGCGATCTGCTAACACCAAATCGTAAACTTTGTCGATATTTTTTTCAGTGACAGCAGTTGACGGCCGTCCGCTGCGAGGGTCATGTTTCACACTCTCTCTGCCAGATTTAAAAAGGGCTGTCCATTTTTTCACAGTGGTGTACGAAGGAGCAGACTCTCCCAAAACTTCATCCATGTCAGCTTTGATTTGAGATGCGGTCAACCCTTTTTTCGTCAGGTATTTTATGACCGCACGAGTCTCCGTCTTCTCCATTTTTGACAAAGCATGTGCACATTGACTATCTGCTAAGCTGTCGTGGCAAAACTTTACGACAAATCAAGCGGAAATTGGTATCGTATCTTTAGCAAGGATGGCTGAATTATTCCCGCCAAAAATTAAATTGATCGCAGCGCCGCATATAGGCAAGGCCGCGAACTTTTCGAACAGCCCTCGTAAATACACCGATAGTGCTACTTGTTCATAGATGGCGCGTATAATTGAATTAAGTCGTATACCGAGCAAAATTTGTTTCGTCCAAACAGGATGTATTCCGAATTGGGCGTATTCTAAAGCAGATGTATACCGAGGTTCCACTGTATTTGTTTGTTGTTTGTTAAGTTATGGAAATGCAACACTTGGGCGATCTTGCCTAGAAGAATGCCTTTCAGGAGGTCTTTTTAAGGGAAACTGGCCCCTATTTAGGTGTTACAGACATGGAAAAACCCCAGAAAACTCCACATGGCCAGCCCATCCGAGCAAGGTGCAAACCCATGACCAAACTCCCAGTGTTAGGTTACGAAGACCACTTGGCCACTGTTTTCTAGCCTGTCTTAAATTATTCAGACCTTTTATTTCCTTTTATTCTCCCTGCACTCCAAAAAAAAATCTTCTCTCATACACACAGTCTGTTTCCAATTAGAAATATCAAAAATACTATTAATATTCTTCCAACATTTTAAATGAATATCTCTCTTTTCACGTTAAATGAAACACAGATGATCAAAACTGTTGCTTTCTTCATTCTATCCTTCACATGGTTAACACAATCAAGAATTATATTTGATAAACCAGACACGTTTCTAACAAAGACCCTTTTCTAACCAGACACTTTTCTGAAATAGTCACTAATAAATTTTCCCATTCATTCACCTCTACATTAAAAATACTAAGTTTCTCTTTCTTAAATTATTTTCAAGTATATTAACTCTTTTAGTTAAACCAGGAATATGCCTTGTTTTTCCTTGAATTGTATATCAATATGAGGTTAAATGATTTTTTATATTAAAATATCAAACTTCAAATTTTAGAATATTAAGCATATTGTCCTGTATACCATTATTGAAAACATATTTTTTTGTTGTAATAAAATATTTACTACCTTTATGATTGTGTATCCTATGCCAAAATTTTCTACTTATTGTTAGGCAATTTAATGTTATTGTAGAAAATGTCTTTGAAATTATCAATACACTGGTGTCCAAAATTTTAAACACAAATGTATTGATAATTTAAAATGGTGAAAAAAGTTAATGTAGTCAGTAGTTTAATAAATCAAATATTAAAATAAAGCTTGCAGCTTAAAGAGAACAAAATTATACATTAAAAAGTAATTATTATTTTTTCCAAAGAATCAAAATACTTACTTGATTTTCAAAGTTTGTATTTTCTATTGACATTACATTCGATAAATTACTCGGAGATAATAATTCTACAAAGAAACAGAACAAAGTAAATAACCAATATAAACAGCAACATTTATAAAATAATATAAATAAAATCATATTTCTAAAATTTAGAACCATTATGGTACTCAACATCAAAGAGATTATAAACAATAAGCAACTCTGTTTAATAATTTATGGTAACTTTGTTTACTGGTTTGAATTCTTTGCCTAAAGATGACAGATATGAAAACTGTTGAAAATACTAGTGTATGACTTTTAGATATTTTAGTTTTGATTTTATTAAATTTGTTTACATTGATGAAGAGTTGCCTATTATTTACATTTCTAAAATATTAACATAACAAAAAAATATATTAAACAAATTTACTTCTTTTATTTTCTTTTTTTATTATTAATTAATACAAAGGTATTATCACTGGAAAGAAAACCTTTCCCAACAAACGATATAATATTCCTATATCAATCCAGAATAATTTTCACATACGATCAGTAAAATTTGAATTTTAAATTTAATTTTGCTTCATCGAAGTTTAAAAAAATAAATATATAAGAATTACGGAAATCTAAAAGCTATGTTAGTTTTTTAATGTGCAATTTCTAATTTATAGACTAACTATTAAATTTATTATAATTGTTTCCAATTCAGTTACATTCAAATAGCTACAAGAAATATTTTTTAAATAAGGACCGTTTAGTAACATCTTATTAAAATGCACACATTCACAATTTTGCACATGTACAGTGTCTCCTGGTACCCTTGCACATAAACAGATGCCATATTAAATTACGTCGGCAATGTGTGCCTTTCTCGTCAACTAGGAAAATGTTTAAGAATATTGAGCTACCTGCCACCTGTAAAATAAGGTCTGTTATTTGCTTCCTGGCCACAAGAAATGTGAAACCAGCAGATCTGTCAAGTTTATGATCCAAATGCCATGAGTGAAAGCAAAGTTCATAAGAAGGTGAGACTGTTTAAGGAAGGTCAGGAAAATGGGCATTGTAAACCACATTCAGACTAGGCATCTGAAATTGCCAACATTCTTGTTCACGTAATATGTGAATCAGTGGAAACAGACAGTTCACCATTTCCACACTAACAGTGAATTTCCTATAAGTTTCTTAGTCAGTTCTTAACAAAACTGTGTCATAAAACTTGGACTATAAGAAATTGTGCTGTTGATGGATTCCAAAGATGCTTACTAAAGATTATCCACTACTTTGATACTTTTGACCTAATAACATGAGAAAGGTGATAAACTGTTGAGCCACATCAGCATAGAAACAAGACATGGGTATCTAATATGACTCCTGAATGCAAGCAGCAGTCTCTGGAGTAGCAACATATCATCTCCAACAAGATCACAGCATCCATGTTCTGGGACAGATGCAATATTTTGTTGATGGACTTTACATGAAACAACAGTAAATGCTGTTGCATTTTTCAGACTTCGAAGAAACTTTGCTGAACATTCCAGAATAAACTCCACAGCATGCTGTCTGCTGGGGTTATATTGCTTCACGACAATGCAAAACACCATATAGCCACTTTAACACAAGTCCTAGTAAAATCTTTTGGTTGGCAGCATTTGAATTACTTTGTACAGTCCATACTTGATGCTGACTTACCTTCCTGCATCTGAAAAGGTTCCTTGCTGCTGGCAAGCATTTCCAAACCAATGAAGAAGTGCAAAAAATAGTTTAAAAATGATCATCCTCACAGGTGGCATACTTCTGTGACACAAGTCTACAAAAACCAATTTCATGCTACAACAAAAGTTTCAACAATGGAAACTATGAGGAAAAGTAGCTAAAAGTAGTAGAATCTGAAAAAATAAATAAATAAAGTACCCATAATGTTTGGCACTTTGTTTTTTATTATAAAACAGTTTTTACTTTAAAAATATCTCTTCTAAATTACCATAATTAACAAATACACATTCTTATGAATTATTTTTAGTAAATAATCAATAAGAATGTCTACTCTGCAAAAATTCCTATAACAAACAAAACCACATAACCTGTTGCATCATCAATAAAAATACATTAACTTTTTGGTGTTAAAACAGATGAAAATAAAGACAATATTGTTTAACAACAAATATAATTACAAATATTATCATCCATTCACTGTAGATGTTAAAAAGTGTTGGGAACAAACCACATCCATGTCTTATTCCTTTTTTAATCTGAATCCATTTGGTATCATCTCCCTGAAATCTGACCATTGGTTTTATAGATGATGTATATTATTCTCAGTAATTTTTTTATCAATACCTATTTTTGCAGAATCTCAAACAAAAGTGTTTGATTAACACTATCAAAGACCTTCTCAAAGTCGACAAAGCATACATATAATTCTCTATAATGATCAATAATCCTTTCTCCTGTAAGTCGTATCATTGTAATGTCGTCCCTTGTCCCTCTGCCTCTTCAGAAACCAAATTGTGACTCACCTAGTTCCTGATTTATGTAGTTTTCTATTTTCGCTCTATGATGTTAACTAAAACCTTTAAGGCATGGCTTACCAAACTAACAGTACTGTGTTTATCACAGTCTAAGGTATCCACAGTTTTAGGAACAGGGATAAAGATTGATTTTGTGAAATCATCCAGAAGATCTGCCTCTAAAATTTTGTTTAAAAAATTAATTAAAATTCTTGTTTCATCTTCTCCATTAACCTTAAGAAGTTCTCCTTGTATTTCATCTATTCCTGGTGCCTTTCTGTCCCTCAGCTTTTTCAATACAGCATCAATCTCTTCCTTAAGAAAGGTTGCATTCTTTCTTTCTCCTCCATCCCTTCTAGGTTTAAACCGTCCTCATTTCCATAGATTGTCTACATATCTTTCCCATCTTAACACTTGTCCATCTTTCTGCAATAAAATTTTCCATTTTCATCTCATAAAGCCCCAATTCTGCATTTCCTTTTTTACCCTTAGATTAAGCTTAGCTTTTCATATACTCTTCTTTAGTCATCCCCATTTAGTGCTCCATTTCTAGACAAAATTGATTCAGTCACTTTTCTTTTGCCTATTTGCACATTATTCTTATTTGCTGTTTTAATGATTTTATATTTTTCTTTTTCTTTCATGTTGTTAGCATTTTTGTATCGTCTTCTTTCATCCATATTTTTTATTATCTCTTCTGTGACCCAAGGCTTCTTTATCTGTTTCCCTTTCTTGCCAAGGATGTCAACCACTGTGTCTTTAATTTTTTGTTTCAAATCATTCCAGATTTCTTCTGCACTTCTGTTAGTGTTGAAATTTTGCAGTCTTCTCGATATGTCAGCCTGAAAAATCTTCTTGATGTAGTCTTTCCTCAATGTATCTATATTGAGCCATTTTTTTGCTTTTTTTGGCCTAACGTGTTTCAGCCTTATTCTTAGTTTTGTTACCAGTAGACTATGATCACCATTGCAATCAACACCTGGTTAAGTCTGTGTGTTAATTATTGCATTTCTAAATCTGTAGTTGACTAGAATTTAATCAATTTGGTTTCTTGTTTCTGCTCCTCTTAATCCTGGAGCTGTCCATGTAGCCACTCTTCTGTCATGCTGTTGAAACCAGGTGTTAGTTACAATCATGTTGGTTCTTCTGCAAAATGCAACAAGTCCCTCTTTCGTTCATTTCTCCTAAGCCCCATGGTCCAATTACATTATCTCTCGCCCTCTTCCAATCTTTGCATTTATATCCACCATAATAATCACTACATCTCTCTTCTTTTTAAGCTGTAGGTATTTGTTTATAAACTTCCTCTGTCTTATCATCAGAATGATCATTTGTTGGCATGTATGTCTGGGTTAAGAAAAGGACCTTGGTTTAGCATTTATCCTCAGTGCTATGGTGCTATCAAATACTTGGCAATATTTGTCAACCAATTTAGCCATCTTCTTTTCCAGCATTACCCCATCTCCTGTTTTATGTTTTGTTCTTCTGAATAGATGAGTCTTATTTCTTTGTTAGTGGTAATATCTCCTTCTCCAGCTCATCTTGTTTCAGAGATTGCTAAGATTGACATCTTCAGTCTTTTCATTTCATGCATTACATTTCCTATCTTTCCCATTTGGTATAAAGATCTAACATTCCAGGTACCTATGTTAATTCATTTCTTAAAATTTTGAAAGCTGTGTGGAATTTTTGTATCTACTTCAAGAGTTCTTAATGACTTTGATCCTGTAGTGTTGTTTGAAGCATTTCTCTGATTTGATCTGTGTACTTCCTGTAATTCCAGTTCACCTCTCCCAGGTAGCCAACTGCACAGGGGTCCTATCCATTCCTCTGCTGAACAGATTATTTCTGAATCTTCTGTCCATTAAATTTTGGGGAGATACAGATGCATGGTGGTTCCCATGGTGGTTAAATATAATATATTATATTTAATACTTTAATAATTATTTTTCTAATTAACTAGCTCAAACAAAACTTCAAAATATTTGATGAAAACAAAATATTCGATAACATATATATTTAAAATTAAAGTAATGGACCAAGTAATTAACACAGACATTATTTATATTGCCTGGCAATACTGAATAATAATGAACAAAATCAAGCATTGTAATAAATTTCATATTCTTTATCATAATTTATCACACTGACAGGTCAATATGAACACTGCTATCATCTGATTGGGCAAAGTGATGATAATGATATCTTGGAGTTATCATACAACAGACTAAACCACACACCATTCTGTGTACCATATTCCAAAAATGACATTCCAGAAGTTTTCTTTAAGTTGATTTTTATGACTAAATTATATAATTTTGTAAATAATACTAATAATGTACTTATAACTCTTTTTTAATGCAATTCTGAAATTATGCAATTGACAAAAGTAAACCATTCTTTTCACACAACTATTTTTTTTATGGAAAAAAGTTTATTGAAATTTTTAAATTTATTTTTTTTTATAAAACTGTGTTATTGTTCAAAAATGTTAATCTTTTTGTTGAAAAACTGGTTTTAAAATTAAATGTTTCTAAATCAAGAATTCATTTAGCTTTTTTAAGCAGACAGCACTGTAT